TATATATATATAGACACGATGGTGGTGACTAGACCTAGCTGTGCTTTGCTAGGGTTTTGGTTGTGATGGATCTGCTTGGAGGTGCTGTGGAGCTGGGTGAAGGTGCTAGATTTCCCTTCAAGGGGTCTCTATGGGTTGTAGAGTTTGTTTGGGTTTTGCTCGGACAGACTTATTTTGAACCTTTGTTACTGTTCTATTGCTTTGCTGAAGGAGCTTCTCTGCTTCATCAGCTTGGAGTTGGAGTTTGTTACTGTTTTATTGCCTTGCTGAAGTAGCTAGTTGTTTTCTTGCTTCATCATCTTGGGGTTTTGACTTGGCATGGCTTTGTCTTTTTCATCTGTTTGCTGATTTTTATGTTTCTTTCTTTTCTTGATTCTTGGGGTTTTGTTGTTGGTTCTTTAGAGCGAGCTGCTTCTCTGGGTTTCGTTTGTTGAATTGGTTCTCTATTTTGCACCCTTGGGGGTGATTTTGGTGGTTAAATATGACCACCCCTATTGATTTGGAGACAAATTTACAATGGACAAAAGCCACTTATGCTGGGGTTGTAGGAAATCTATCTTCCCCCTTGGTGGATCCTGATCTTCTGGTGTTTCCTCAGGAATTTCATAACACTGCTGCAGGTAGGGGTTCTGCCTCATGCATTCATCCTGTGGGATCTAAAGATGGAAAACCAGCTGCTCTTTTCTCTGATCAGGACCTTGCTGAACTGAACTTGGATGTTCAGTTCACACTAATTGGAAAATTTAATCTGGGGCACCCAAAGATGGAACTTGTGAGGAAATATTTTGATTCTTTGAAAATCTATGATTGGAAGCTAGGCTTGTTGGATGGCAGGCATCTCCTTATCCAATTGATAAAGGAAGAGGACTATACAAAACTCTTTGTTAAATAATCCATCATTATTGCACGTACAGAAATGAAGATTTTAAAATGGACTCCTGAGTATGACCCCTCACAGGAACCCCCCACTATGCCAATTTGGTTTAAGCTACCAAAATTGCCATTGCATCTATTTAAACTTAATGCATTATTTAATATTGGATGTACCTTGGGCACACATTTGAAGGTGGATGCTGCCACTTATAATAAAGCTAGGCCAGCCAATGCAAGGATTCTGGTGGAGATGTATGTCACCCTACCTGAAGTAAAGAGAAAATGGATAGGAGACACAATGAAGGGTTTTTGGAAGGAAGTAGTCATGGAGCAAAGACCCTGTTATTGCCAACATTACAAAATGTTTGGTCACACTAGGGAGAAACACTACAGGCTTAATCCTCCTAATAGAAGTCTCATAAATAATCCTCAGCAGGAGTTGAATGATGCAAATAACAATCTCTAGAGTGATAACAATAAAGAAGTCCACTAGGAGATTTCCACTGTGGCAGAGACAGAAGAGACAATTAGTTCAATAGTTATTCAGAATACTGTGAAGGAAAAAGCCTTTTGTGACCCCAGCTGAAGAGAGGGTAACAGTTAGTGAGGATATGGAGGCAGGTAAAATTGGAAGTGGCCATCTCCCTTTTCAAGTCCCCTTGGAGGACTTAATTTAGTTACATAGGAACAAAAGGAATCCTATGGATAGATCAGATGTGGCTTCACCTACTGAAGCTTTGGTTGAAGAAATGAAGAAAGAATTTGAATCATATTGTCAGTTTCAAAATACTTGAAAGAAAAGAAATTCCAAACTAGAAGAACTAAAACAGAAGAAGGAAAGGAGTTACAAATTATTGAAGATTCAAGCAACCAAAGAAAAGGAGCTTTTAACAAACCATGGGGGAGGACTAGATCCAGATCCCAAGCCTACATCCATCCCCCCTCCCCATGATTAATTTGTTGTGTTGGAACATAAGGGGGATTGCTCACCTCTTATCCTTAAAAAGACTTAAATACCTAAATAAAAAACATAAATTTTGGTTTATAGCCATTTTGGAACCTATGGTTCACCTAAACACTATGAAAATTTCCAAATTTTTCCCTGGCTTCAATTTGTTTACTAAGATCAACAACAAAATCTGGGTTTTCTGCAGGAAAGAAATGAAGTGTTCCATTTCGCTGAACCACACTCAAGTCTTGCATATGAACATTAGCACTGATGACATAGAGGGATTTTCTTCCTTTGTTTAGGCAGGAAGCTCCAACATTGTAAGAACTGAACTGTGGGAGACCCTTCAAAACATCCAAGGTTTTATTGATAAAGCATGGATTGTGGGAGGAGATTTCAATTGCATTTCCTCTCTTGTTGAAAGGAAGGAGGGTAGAACTCCTAATCCTGCAACTATATCCACATTCAATGATAATATTCAAAAAACTGGATTATTTGATCTTGGTTTTAGTGGTCCTGATTTCACTTGGAGGAGGAAGGATATGTGGGAACGGCTGGATAAAGTATTTGCTAATGACAACTGGATTCAAAATTTCTAGCAGACTTCTATCACAAATCTTGGCCTAGCGGGATCAGACCATAGGACTTTTTTTATCACTATTAGCCCAAAAAGTACTTGTCAGAAGGGTGCTTTTAGGTACTTGAATGTATGGTCTCAACATAAGAACTTCTTGCAGATTGTCAACGACAATTGGAAGAATGATACTCACCCTGACTCCTTCATCAATTTGTGGCAAAAGCAATAGAAGGTGGGCAAAGCTCTCAAACAGTGGAGTTGGCATACTTTTCGGGATCTACTGAAGGTTGTGGAAAAGGCTGAAAAGAAGCTGCTTGATTTGGAGGAGGGGCACAACAAAGGGAAGACTGATGAAGCTACTCTTTTAGAGGCTAACGAGAGACTTTTAACTACAGTGAACTGGTAAGAACAATTCCTTAAACAAAAGGCTACTAAAACTAAATTTACTGAAGAGCATAGAAATACTAAATTCTATCATGCATGCATTAAATACTAGAGAAAGTGCAACACTATCCATTGCATCATGGATCAGAATGGAACTTGGCTCAGAAAGGAGGAGGAGATTGCTGAAAGTGTTGTATTGTACTGCCAGAACCTCATGAATGGAAAAAACTTTGACAGAGATCATATAGACAGTAATTTGTTTACACAAAGCAATCAGTGCACTGCTAGAATGAACTTGACTTGCATACCTGAGGAGGAAGAGATTCAAAGAGCTTTAATAGCTCTAAATCTACAGGCCTAGATGGGTTTACTGCAAATTTCTATAAAAAAGCCTGGGGTGTCATCAATGTGGAGGTAATTATAGCTATCCAACACTTCCTTAAAGGACATTCTCTACAAAATTATTTCAGTGCTTCCTCCATTGTATTTATCCCTAAAAATTTTATCAAAGACAAGTGGAGCCATTACAAAACTCTGAGCCTTACTAATGTAATAAGTAAAATTGTAAGCAAAATTCAGCTGAACAGACTTCAGCCAGCCCTACCTCAGTTAATTAGCACAAACCAAGCAGCATTTGTGAAAGGAAGAAACATAGGGGACAACATACTTCTGGCACAGGAACTTTTACAGAATTTGGAGAAACCTTGCAGAGGGGGTAATGCAATTTACATGCTAGACTTGAAGAAGGCTTATGATATGGTGAACTGGGATTACATTATGGAATGCTTGGCGGCTAGGGGTTTTTCCAGGGAATTCTGTTTGATCATTCAAAGATCGCTGGAGGCTAATGCTAATTTTGTATTCATCAATGGGAAAGCTTGTGGTTTCTTTAAAGCTAATAGAGGGCTTAAAAAAGGGGACCCTCTTTCCTCTACTATTTTCATACTGGTTTTGGATTATTTATCCAGACTCATTAATTGCCAGTAAAAGAGAAAAAGCTTCAATGCTTATCACAATAGAGCTAAGATGGACATTAGTCATCTTATCTATGCTAATGATATTCTTTTTTTTTACTAGGGCCACTAAGTCAGCTACAAAGTACCGTTTATGATTGCTTGCAAAAATTCCAATAGGTGACAGGGCTAAAAGTAAATAAGGACAAATGTAAGATCCTGGTTAGCAAGAGAGTCCTATTACCACTCAGGCAGTGGATGTTATATTTCACTAGGTTCTCAATCATGAGCAATCCCTTCAAATACCTAAGCACTCAACTGGTTAGAGGAAGAACCAAACAAACTCAATTTGATGAGGTTATTGATAAGATTAATTCCACTCTCCAGGGGTGGTCCAACTCTTACCTCTTAAATGGTGAAAGGATCACCCTACTTAAGAGCATTCTAACCTCTATCCTTCTTTATGTTCTTCAAGTGGAAACAATGAAAAGAAGCACCACCTTGATGCTGGAAAGAACCTTCAACAGGTTCCTTTGGGCTGGGAACATGAAAACAAATGGCCTGGGCAAGTTGGAAAAGAGTGGCTAAACCATATGAAGTTGGTGGTTTAGGATTTAAAGGATTACACCATATGCAATAAATTAGCATGTGTAAACTTTGGATTAATTTCATACAAAATGAAAGCTTATGGGCTAAGTTCATGTAGGCAAAATACTACAAATTTGATCATCCTCGGAAAGTAACTAAGAAACCGGGGGACTCCAGGACATGGATCTAGATGCTTAAGGTTAGGGAAGACATTGAAAAATTTTTCATTTGGGAGCTGGGCCATGGAGAAATCAACATTTAGAAGGATAAATGGTGCCCTATTGAACATTTGGAGCCTCTACAGGAAGAAAAGGAGGAGGATTTACAGGTTAAAGACTGTTGGAATGACAATGTTTGGTTTGAGGACACTTTGAAAAACTTTATGAAGGAACCATCTGCTAGAATCATTTCAACAATCCAATTTGACAAGAATAAAAATAAAAAAGATCAACTTCATCTCATTATCTCATTAACAGGACCAGGTCAAGCCTTTCAAAGGATATTCAAAACAATTTATTCAGATGGGACCAATGCTAGTGGAATATTTTCTCTTGCCAGAAATACTTAACTCCATCTATGCTGTTCTTTTCATGGAGATTTATAAATGACTTAATTTCCAACATATGATATTCTGAAACTGAAAGGCTTGAAAGGCCTGTCAAGATGTCAACTCTGGAAACTTGACCAGGAATCCAGTGACCAACTATTTTTTAGGTGCAGATTTGCTAGGGAGGTTTGGAACAGTTTGACCTCTAACATGAATCTTAAGGTGATCAATACTGGATGGGGTAACATAAAAGACTGTCTAAAGAACTTGCAGGAGATAAACATTATGCCTTTTTCCTTCATTGTTGTCTGGTTCTTTTGGAATGCGAGAAGCAAGGTGAAGCATGAGGACAGTGGGACAAATACTCCTTCTGTGGTGTCTAATTGTCTGACATATTTAAACAAGCTGATATGTTGAAAGAAATTCCCTAAGATCTTGAAGGTCCTGCCTAATATTGATTTGCAATAGATGAAGGTCATCAAGGTAAGATGGGAGAAGCCTCCTCACCCTTACATTAAAATAAACACTGTTAGAAGCTTCACCAACAAGAAAGTTGGAATTAGGGGGATCTTTGGAGACCACACATGACATACTTTGCTTTATTTCAAGGCCCCTTATATTGCAAAAGATGCACTGGAAACTGAAGCTGCTGCACTTTACTAGGCTCTAAAATTTGCAAGGGGAAACAAGTGGAAGTGGATTATAGCTAAAGTGGACTCTTCCCTCCTGGTGGAGCTGTTGACTAAAAACTCTTCATCCTCTTGGCACATAAACCAGTGGATTCACAAAATAAACAACCTCAGTCTTGAGATTAAGATTCAATTCTCCTTTATTTATAGGGAAGCTAATAGGCCTGCTAATTTTCTGGCTTTTGAGGGTTCTAACTCAAATTATGCTGAGGTCTCCCCCTCCCCTTCCCTCTCTTTCCATCTATTACTTAAGGGGGACAAACTTCAAATACCTTATCTTAGATTGCAAAACTGAATGATGGGTTCCAAATCAGAAGTTCGTTGGGTTTTTGCTGGTCATCTATAGTTGTTGTGCTCCTCATTTTCAATCTCTGTTAGTTAGCTTCAAATACCTTATAGAGGATTTATTCATGTAATTTTGGTATACTTAGATTTTGCTTTGTTGGATAGGGTTCCTAAATAGGTTGCTCCTTTGTCTTAGGTTTTTGCTTTTTCTTTTTGGAGGAACCTGGATTATCTCCTTGATTTGTATTCTCATGTTTTATTATACATTTAGGGAGCCTACAAATGCTACTTTCCCAATATATATATATATATATAAAGGAAAAAGAGTGACAGAGACTCCCTACATGTTAAGATGAAATAAGGTTACAAAGCAATATTTGGCTTGGTTCATAGACAAAACCAAGGATAAGCAAAAAAAAGGCGGCAAGGCCTCCCAAGAGAAAACAAAATGCAGTATAACCTATCAAGAAAACTTATCCCCATACAATAGGGCTGAAGAGGAGAATGGAGTGAAACATAACAAAATAGTAGGTCATAGAAAAACAAGAATCCTCTCTATATAGGGTGGTTAGAATCAACATTTGTGGACATCGCCCTTCTAAAATATGGCAGGTCAGGAGATCTGCCCTAATCAACCAAGCCAACTCCACATGAGGGGTAGTATAAACTTTTGACAACAAATACAATGCTCCTAGATGTGCAAGAAAATTAGCACATCTGTTACCTTCCCTGAAAATATGTTTCCAGATAATTTGAAGGTTATTATTCAACTTCATGTGAGTGATTTGCTTAACAGCATGTAGCAGAAACCAAGGTGAGGAGATGTTATCTTTTAAAAGTTGGAATAGCCATAACGAGTCCATTTCCACAATTATTAGATTCCATACCATAACAACAGCTGTTTGAAGGGCCCCAACCACAGCAAATGCTTCAGCCTGCAAAGCATTAATAGCAATAGTGGGCAACCCCCAGCCCTATCTAGGAAACACAGCAGGCAACCCCCAGCCCTATCTAGGAAGATCCCTCCAATTCCAGCAGCGTGACTTCTATAACTCCCATCAGTGTTCATTTTGATCCAAGGATAAGAAGGTTTCCTCCAATGGAACAGTTGAACTCATTGTCTAATAGCAGAAACTTGGGTATTGAGGAATTGAGAACATCCAGGAATTTTAACCTTATACCCCACGATGTTGATTATCTGCAGAGTATATGCCAAGCAGTTGGTAGAAATTTGTGTAGCACTTTGAGTTATCCCCTCATATTTACTGCTATTTCTTGCCATCCAAATGAACTATGTAGAAATAAAGGGGATCAATTCAGCATGATTCCCTTTCCAAACTTTCCAGCAGTCAAGGAAGTTACCAAACTTCAGTAATTGGGAAGGGAAATTAAGCTTCGTAGCCACCTTTGTCCAAACCCCTTGAGCAGTAGGACAAGAAAAAAACACATGATTTAAAGATTCCTCTTGTTTGCAACAGAAAGTACATCTTGAAGGTCCTATTAGACCCTTGAGTTTGAGTATATCATCAGTGGGAATAATATTATGAAAACATCTCTAGGTGAAGAAGGACATTGAGGGGCTGAGGTATTTCACCCACATGGCATTACCCCAATCCTTATGGTGCCAATTGTTTAATTGAGAGTATGCAAATTTGGTAAAAGAAGTATGGGAAGGATTTTTAGTCACAATTCTATCTGGTTTCATTGGAGTAATTGGGACTTTAAGAATTTGAAACATTTGTTCAGGATTCACCATAGTAGCCAACATGTCTCTATTCCAGAGATGATTATTCCAGCAAAGATGGATAGGGGTGTTGATAGCTGAGTCCAGAGAGGTTTATGGTTCAAATTTACCTTCAAGAAACCAATTATCGAACCAAAAATGAACTTTTCCTTTTCCCACATCCCAAATAAATAGCTCTTCAGCCTCACACCTAACATGCAAGAGCTTAGACAAGATTCTAGAATCCTAAGGATTTCTGCAAGTAATATATGGGTGGGAGTGTTTACAGTACTTGAACTTCATATAGTTAGCCCACAAAGATTTCTGTTCTCTAAATTTTCCCACAAAGATTTCTGTTCTCTAAATTTAATCCAAAGTTTACAATAGAAGATTTTATGAAGCTGTTGGAAGGACTTCATGCCAAGTCCCCCTGCAGCTAGAGGTAGACACAGCTTCTCCCAACTAAATCGGTGTGCATGTTTGTGATTGCCTTCCCATAAGAATTTATTCAACATCACCTATAAAGTTCTCTATGTACCTCTTTTCATTTTAAGCATTTGCAAAATATACATTGGGAAAGATGCTAGGATACTTTTAATTAAGGTTAATCTTCCTCCCTGAGACAAAAATGAATTAGTCCAACAAGAGATTTGCTTGGAGATTTTAGAAACCACCTAATCAAATTGAGTCTCCTTCTTCCTTCCTTTAATTAAGTGCACCCCAAGTAAACCAAAGGGTTAGTAGTAGATTTAAAGCCAGTGAAGTCTTTAATGCAATTTTTATTAACAGGATGTAGCTTATTGCTAAAAATCAATTGGTATTTCTTTGAATTCAGAGAGAGACTAGAGATCTGTTGGAACAAGTTCAGCAGATTTACCACCTTCTTTACTGCTGGTTTTGAGGCTTTAGAAAACAATATGAACTCATCAGCATAACATAGATGACTTATGGAAAAATTTGCTTTATTAGCAAATCTGAGATGTTCCCTTTCAAAAGAATGGTGGTTAAGAAGCCTAGATAAGTAATCCATAGCTAAAATGAAGATGTAAGGAGAACGGGGGTCCCCTTGTTTAATTCCCCTAGTAGCTTGGAACTGCCCTTGAGAATTACCATTAATAAGAATGGTATAATAATTATTGTTAAACCATCTATGGATGATTTGGCAGAAGGCATTTTGAAATCCCCTAGCTTTAAGAACCTTCAAGACAAAATTCCAATTAATAGTGTCATAAGCTCTAAAGATATCTAGCTTATATATAAGATTACCCCCTCTGCAAGGCTTGTCAATATCCAGCAGGAGTTCCTGTGTAAGTAACACATTATCAGTAATATGTCTACCTGTAACAAAAGCTGACTGATTAGGAGAGACCATCCAAGATAAATGTGGTTTTAATCTAAAAACCAAAAGCTTGCTAATAAGTTTAGATAGCAACGTGAGAGATATGGGTCGAAAATGATCCCAATTAGTTTTCTGGTCTCCCTTTGGGATAAGAATAATGGTGGATTGAGAAAAATATTGTGGCATATCCTCCCCTCTGAAGTAGGCCTGAACAGCTGCCACAACCTCAAACTTAATCACCTCCCATGATTTTATGTAGAACGTAGAAGTAAAATCATCTGCACCAGCCACCTTGTCACCATCAATAGAACATAAAGCTTTCCAAATTTCTTCCTCAGTAGGAATAAATGTTAAATCCAGGTTCTGGATATCAAAAAATTTATCATTAAGTAAGCTAGAGTCAAAGTTCAGGAGATTAGCCTCATGGGGTTCAGATAAAACGCTTTGGAAGTGATCAATAGCATCTCTGTGAATTAGATCAGTTCCCTGGACCCAAATGCCATTATGAATTTTAATCTTAAAGATGGTGTTGGAATGTCTTCTTTGCTTTATACAAGCATGGTAAATCTTAGTATTCCTATCCCCATCAACATATTTTTTGATGGCAGCCTTCTGTTTATAGAACTCTTCCTCCCAATGAACTGCTTGAAGTAGATTTGCATTTGCTACTATCAGGTTCTGTTCATCAGATATCCCCATCTGAATGTTTAATTCAGCTTGTTTCACTGCAGCTTCAACCTCTGCAACTTTTGTTGTAAGGTTGCCAAAGCAGTTCCAATTCCAGGCTTTCAGCAAAGTAGCCACTTTTCTTTGAGTTCGCCATAGTTTAATCCAAGGATTGAAGGATGAAACAGGTACCCAAACAGACTTAATAAAGGAGAGGAATTCAGGATGTTCCACCCAAACATTAAGGAATCTGAATCTTGGTAATGGAGCAACAGTATTAGGGGACATAGAGGTTAGTAAAGGCCTATGATCTGAGCATGTGTAAGGAAGATGGGAAATTGTAGTCATAATGTTGGTATCCAACCACGCTTGATTGACCAGGAATCTATCAATTCTTTCAAAAAGTTTTCCCCTTCTCCAAGTGTCAAGAGGACCCTGATGAGGAAGTTCAGCAAGGGCATTGCTTTTGATATTCTGATTAAATAGTAACATTTGTGTAGTGTCCACAGGTTTTCCTCCCCATTTTCTATTTAATCTAACTATACTATTAAAGTCTCCACCCATGATCCAAGGTTCATGAATGTAGGAGTTGAGATGTTGGATTTGTTGCCATAATTGAGCTTTATCATTTGCAGAACTCTCAGCATAAATGAAGGCAGTCTGAATATGTAGAAAATCTCATATAAGCTGGATATGAAGCAATTGAGGCTAGTCTTCCAAGATCTAAACATCCAGGTTAATTGTATAAAAAAACCAAATTTTGTTATTAATATTGTACTTACAAGTGAAACTTGGGAAGTTCTTTCTAAATCTGCAAGGAGGGCATTGAACCAAAGCTTCAAGAATAGTAAAATACAGTAGCCTGTGCTTCCTAACCAACTGTTTAATTTTGATCAAAGATTTCTGATCAGCAATCCCACTGATGTTCCAGCACATCAAATTAATCATTTGAAGGAAGTGAAAGCCCAAGGACTGCTATCCAAACAATCCAGCAGAGTGACCAGTAATTTGCTGACATCATACATCTGAAGGAAATAGAAAGACTCCCATATCTTTTAAGAAAGATGGGAGAGTGCAGAACGAAATCTACCAACCTCCAAAGACCAGTTATACCCTTTCTCAAATTGTTATTGCTATCCCAACACACCAAAAAAATGCCAAAATACTTGTTGGAGTGAATCAAAGACAAAAGAAAAGACATTCTTCCATATCTTCTTAGATATAGAGTATTTAAATGTTGATAAGAGTCTGCCATCACCCCAAGGCCATAGAAACCCCTTCTCAACTTATAACAACTGAAGTTAAGGATAACAATTAAAAAACATTTGAAAGACATAAAATGACCAGAGGTCAGCATTTTAAACAGAGAGAAGTCAAGCATTTTGAGGATGAAGATGGGGTGAAGGTTGTGATCTGGATCTGGTTCTCCCTCTAAAAAGTCTAGAAGATGATCCAACCTTCATATTATTTCTAATGGAAGCTGCCTCTCTTTGTAACCTTTGAGATTCTGTGGATTGTTTTTTCTTTCTCATAGAGGTCCGCATAACCCAATCCTCCACCATAAAATGGTTCATGTCAGTAACCTTATCTCCTTCAATCACATGATGCAATTGCTGATACTGAACTGAATCCTGCAGCCTCTCCTCAGATGAAGCAACTGTGGGGGAAAGTATAGTGATGATATTGGGTTCCTCTCTAAGTACTTCCTTAGGAGGAGAAGGGGGAGTAATATATGTAAAGGGGGTTGGGGAGTTCTTATCCTCATCATGTATGCCATCCTCAATAACCCCAAGAAGTTATATGGGGGCAGTTTCCTTGAAAGAGAACTGTTTCCTTCTCATTGGAGGGTGTAGTTGTTGACCTCACTTTTGGTTGAGGTCTAGAAACTTCTTTAGTAGCCTAGGTCTAGCCATAGGACTTTCATATTGACTAGTCTTAGAAAACTAGAAAAGGTATCCTCACCATTAGAAATTCAATTGCTCTTCTCTTTTCTCAACTTTAGATTCCACATATTGGTCCTAACCTCTAATATTTAGAAGGTAAGATCATTATGAGGAAGCTCAAGAAGAGTTCCTATAGAGTTACTTGGCTTTAGTATTGACCCTGGGTATTGATTTGAAGCTAAGGTATATTATACCCTTACCATATCTTCACGATACACTAACGAAGATCAATATATGAGAGCCGAATGGATATCTATCCAATTCTACTTGAAATGCCCAACTTGGCCTTTTGCCCCGAGGCATCTCCAAATTACCTAACTGCCCTAGGGACCCAAATTTGGCCAAAATTCCCCAAATTTTGCCAAAATACCCAAAATTGATCAAAACTCATTCCAAACACTTTGAATACATCCAAATTTGCCAAAATTGACAAAAATGGCCAAATTACCAAAATGCCCCTCCATG